GATAATAGCCAGGGACAAAGATCCTCTGGGTTCTGGGGCAAGTGGCAACAAGTCTTGGGAAGGTGAGGGGCAGAACTGCACTGCAAACAAAGGTTGTCTGATTATTCGGGTAAAGTCTCTCAGGTAAAAAAAAAAAAGTCATTTTGGAGCAGCCTTCAGGTAGAATAGGCAATAGCCTGTCTGGGTGTGGTGATGACTTTTAATCTCCTGTCTGGTGATTCATCTTCCCTGGATGTTTGATGAGATTCCTAGGGAGGGGGTTCAAGACAGCGAGTTCAGAACACTTGAAGAATTTCCTTCAGTCAGATGAGGGAATTTCAGTGACAGCCCCTCCCTGCACTTTGGAAGGGAATGATTGAGGAAGAGCAGGAACAGGGGAAGGTCAGAGTCACCTTGTCTCTGAGGCTTACTTCTGAGGCATTTCCGTTTCCTTTGTTTGAGCACTTAGCAAGCCATTTTGGGGTACCACCCCTACAGTTGATTGGATAGAAGACTAGAAGACAGAATAGTGCCCTCTTCTGTGGGGAATACTTTTGATGACTATCACCAGTGACTTATACCTACAACCTTCTCTGGGGGTGTGTCTTTGGGTGATTGAAGTCACCTGCGTGGAGGTGTCTGGGAATTATGTCACCACCCAGAGCCAATGACTGAATGACTGGCTGGCAGCTGTTCTCCAGGAGATAGGAGGCCTGAGCTGGAAGGCAGGTCCAGATTTCCAGCCTGGTGACCACCAGGTAGATGGTGGGGCAACTAATAGACACAGAAGAATCAGATTTAGAAGAGGGAGGATAGAGGTTGGTTCTCTCCCTCCCTCTCTCTCTCAAACTCTCTCTCTATCTCTATATATATGGTTTGCACACGTGTGTTTTTTTTTTTTGTTTTGTTTTTTTTTGAGACAGGGTCTCACTCTGTTGTCCAGGCTGGAGTTCACTGTAACCTAGAAGTCCTGGGCTCAAGCAATCCTCTCACCTTAGCTTCCTGAGTAGTTAGGAGTATAGGCGTGCCACTATGTCTGACTAATTTTTTTTTTTTTTAACTTTTATTTTTTGGAGACAGGGTATCATCATGCTGTCCAGGCTGGTCTCAAACTTCTGGCCTTGAGTGATTCTCCTGCCTTGACGTTTTTTTTTTTGTTGTTGTTGTTTTGAGACAGAGTCTCACTCTGTTGCCCAGGTTAGAGTGCCCTGACATCAGCCTGGCTCACAGCAACCTCAAACTCCTGGGCTCAAGCCATCCTTCTGCTTCAGCCTCCCAATAGCTGGGACTATAGGCATGCCCCACCATGCCTGGCTAATATATATTTTCAGTTGGCCAATTAATTTTTTTCTATTTATAGTAGAGATGGGGTCTCACTCTTGCTCAGGCTGGTCTCTAACTCCTGACCTTGAGCGATCCTCCCGCCTCATGCCTCCCAGATTGCTAGGATTACAGGTGAGCACCATGGCCCTTTTTCACTTTCTAAAACCAGAGTTTGAAAAGCTGAAATAACTTTCTATCCCACTGGCTCCTCCTTCTCGCTCCTTTGCAATCTTTTCATTACCAAAAAATAAAAAAATAAAAATAAATTCAAACCACACAAATAATACATGGCAATATCTTTTTTTTTTAAACAATTAAAGATAAGGCTCAGCCAGGCACGGTGGCTTATGCCTGTAATCCTAGCTCTCTGGGAGGCCGAGGCAGGAGGATGGCTCACCATCAGGAGTTCAAAACCAGTCTGAGTAAGAGTGAGACCCCGTGTCTACTAAAAATACAAAGAAGTTAATTGGTCAACTAAAAATATATGGAAAAAACTAGCCGGGCATGGTGGCACATGTCTGTAGTCCCAGCTACTTGGGAGGCTGAGGCAGAAGGATCGCTTGAGCCCAGGAGTTCGAGGTTGCTGTGAGCTAGGCTGATGCCACAGCACTCTAGCCCAGGCAACAGAGTGAGACTCGTTCTCAAAAAAAAAAAAAAAAAAAAAGATAAGGCTCAAATTATCTATCCTTTCTGTCTACAAGTCCAGTTTAACTCTTCTCTCTGAGTTTCCCACAATTGTTAGTTTGTTATGAATTCTTCCATAACTTTCTCTCAGTGCAGGGCAAAGGTTATGGGATTGGTTTCTGAATGTGGCCTTCCTAGGTTCAAATCCTGACTCGGTGGCACACAAATTGTGTGACCTTGGAGAAATTGTGTAATCTTTCTGTGCCTCAATTTCTACCATCTATAAAATGGGTATGGTAACATTACCTACCTCATGAGGTTACTGTTAGGATAAAATGAGTTAATATGTGTAAAGTACTTCCTTCTGCCTCAAACTCCTGAGTAGCTGGGACTACAGGCATGTGCCGCCATGCCTGGCTATTTTTTTCTATATATTTTTTGTTGGCCGATTAATTTCTTGCTATTTTTAGTAGAGACAGGGCCTCGGTCTTGCTCAGGCTGGTTTCGAACTCCTGACCTCGAGGATCACCAGTCTCGGCCTCCCGAGTGCTAGGATTTCTTTTTTTTTTTTTGACACAGGTCTCACTCTGTTGCCCTGGGTAGAGTGCAATGGCATCATCGTAGCTCACTGCAACCTCAAATTCCTGAGCTCAAGGGGTCCTCTTGCCTCAGCCTCCCAAGTAGCTGGGACTACAGGCATGTGCCACCATGCCCGGCTAATTTTTTGTATATATATTTTTAGTTGACCAATTAATTTCTTTCTATTTTTAGTAGAGACAGGGTCTCGCTCTTGCTCAGGCTGGTTTCAAACTCCTGACCTCGAGCGATCCTCCCACCTCAGCCTCCCAGAGTGCTAGGATTACAGGCGTGAGCCACCGCGCCTGGCCTCTTTTTTTTTTTTTTAAGATAGAGTCTCACTCTGTTGTCCAGCTGCTAGAGTGCAGTGGCGTCATCATAGCTCGCTGTAACTTCAAACTCCTGGGCTCAGGAGATCCTCCTGCCTGAGCCTCCCAAGTAGCTGGGACTACAGACACATGCTACCACAAACAGCTAATTTTTGTATTAATATGTTTTTGTAGAGAGTCTTGCTATATTGCTCAGGCTGGTCTCGAACTCCGCCTCAAGAGATCCTCCTGCTTTGGCCTTCCAAAGTACTGGGATTGTAGGCACGAGCCACCTGCCTGGCCTTTAGTATTGTGTCTTTCCATCTATTAACAAGGTATATAACCTCATTTAACTATTTGATAGTTATTAAAAGTTCTATAGGTTTTAATTTTCCCATAAAGGTCTAAGGCTTACTTTTTGAAACGTTGTTTTTGCTTGTATTATGAACAGGTTTTTTCTTGTTGTTGTTGTTTTCATTGTTGCTATTTTCTAATTGATTGTTTTTTTCTTTTTCTTTTCCTCTAGAGCAGCAGTCCCCAACCTTTTAGGGACCGGTTTCATGGAAGATAATTTTTCCACACAATGTGTGGAATAGTTTCGGGATGATTCAAGCACATTACATTTATTTTATTTTATTACTTTTTTTGAGACAGAGTCTCACTTTGTTGCCCAGGCTAGGGTGAGTGCCTTGGTGTCAGCCTAGCTCACAGCAACCTCAAACTCCTGGGCTCAAGCAATCCTGCTGTCTCAGCCTCCAGAGTAGCTGGGACTACAAGCATGCGCCACCATGCCCGGCTAATTTTTTCTATATATATTAGTTGGCCAATTAATGTTTTTCTATTTATAGTAGAGACGGAGTCTCACTCTTGCTCAGGCTGGTTTCGAACTCCTGACCTTCAGCAATCCATCCTCCTTAGCTTTGGAGAAGTCCAGCATGCGAGCGTCCTGTGGTCTAAACCGACTCCCGGCCTTCTCAGTTGGTACCACCTTTCTCAAATAGTTTGGAGCAGAGCATTCTGGTCTTTGTAGTAATGTCCCTAAGAGTGTCCCTGAGAGTGCTAGGATTACAGGAGTGAGCCACCGCTGCTGGCCAACATTGTAATGGAATAATTATACCATTCATCATAATGCAGAATCAGTGGGACCCCTGAACTTGTTTTCCTGCAACTCATGGGAGACAGTGAATGATTTGACAGGAGGCAGAGCTAAGGTGGTGATGCCAGGGATAGGCAGTGGCTGTAAATACAGATGAAGATTTGCTCACTCACCCTCTGCTCACCTCCTGCTGTGCGGCTCAGTTCCTACCAGGCCACGGACCAGTACCGGTCTGTGGCCCCGGGGGTAGTACAGCTCTAGAGTAGCCAGAAAGAAATCTAATTGATTATTAATGATGTATAAAAAGGACATTCTTCGTTCAAATCTCATCCCCTGCACTTATGTGACTTTGGACAATTTCACTGAACTTGTCTGAGCCTTTGTTTTGTCTTTTAGGACATGGGTTAATAAAGCAAGGGATGCAGTTGGGATTAAAAGAGGATGAGGCAACCAATAAACCGCGCACTTCAGCCGGTAAAATCATGGCAGGGACTGGAGAGTTTGAGAGGCTCCTTCCGGATTGGGAGGGAAGTTGAAGGCAAGTCTGTGTTGTACGCAGCAGACTCCATGTTAAAGTGAAGTGAATTCTTATGAACATTCAAGGCACAATGCATAACCACAACGAGACTAATCTTTAAAAAATAGAGTATTCTTCCCTGAAAGCTTTGGAGAAGTCCAGAATGCGAGCGTCCTGTGGTCTAAACCGACTCCCGGCCTTCTCAGTTGGTACCACCTTTCTCAAATAGTTTGGAGCAGAGCATTCTGGTCTTTGTAGTAATGTCCCTAAGAGTTGTTCCAAAGGGCTCACGAAGGCGCATGAGACTACATTTCCCAAGAGCCTCCCGGCTGGTTGTTTGCTTGTGCCTCCTTCTGACTTCCGGCGTTGCTGCGATTTCCAGGGCCAATCGGTGGGCTGGAATTGTCTTCCTGGTGCTCTGATTGGCGCATTCGACTGGGGTTCCTGGGTTCAAATTTTCAACGATACTGAATGAGTCCCGCGGCGGCTTTGCTGGCGTTTCGTTGTCAGAGCAGGGTCGAGGTGAGCTGTGGGAGAAAAAGGGGAATAAACTCGGGCGCGTGGTTCCTTTCTCCTTGATTTTCGAACGGCTGAAGTTCATCTACCAGCCTCTATCGCTGCCCGCGCCTCTAGGCCTGGGCTCTGAGACGTTGCGCGGCTGGGGCGCCGCTCAGCCGCGGCAGGGCGGGAGCGGTGGCTTCGGGCCACCTTTCTCTTCGTGACAGGATTTTACCTTGAAATCTGTCCGGAAAGTAAGGGGAAGGAGTTGTGGCAGGCTGTCGGCTGATAACGGTAACGACATTTATTATTGCTATTAGCATGCTAGCGTGTAGTGAACCTTTTACTGGACCGAGCACTCTGCTTGCCCTTTCTCATTTAATTTTCGCACCAAGGCAGTGAAGTAGGTGCTCTTCTTAGCCTCCTAGTACGAGGAGGAAACTGAGGCTCAAAATCTAGATAAATTTCGGGAAATGGAAAATAGAAGTGTGGCATTCGATGGAGGAAAACAGATGTAGTCACAATTATATTTCAAAACTGCTGTCTAAGTAAGATAGGCGGTAGAAGAACATAATTGAGGAGAGCTCAATTCCATTTGGAATTGTCTTTTATTGGGGATTTTAAATTCATTCTATGTTATCCGTATTTGTCCAGCCCTCCCTCTTTGTATCCAATCACTAGGTGTTAGGGCCTTTCTCATTTCCTTCCTTAGAACATTTTAGATTGGAGGGGGAAGGAAAACTGAACTAGGTTATAATATTATAGGGTCAGTTTACCCCCTATTTTCATTATATATGTTTCTTTTTTTAACATACACTTTTCTAGTAGTTCAATAGCCAGGACTCCCCCAAATCAGGCCTGCTTAGGCTAAAAGAGGATTTTTGACTCCCTGATTTTGCTATAACGTCATCCTTTGGTGTACTCCCTGGTTCACCCTTCCCTCTGACCTTCCATGAATTTCTCTCACTCATCAGATGTTGTCAAAAATAGGGTTATGTGCTGCTGTAATAAGAATATTCTTTTGTTGTGGTCTCAGTGTATTATACCACCTGTCAAGCTACCCCCAACTTATACTTGAGTACCCTTGGTTGGTTTGGGTGTGTCAATTCAGTTTTAAGCTGGCATTCTTTGATCAAATTATGTGGCTCCTGGCTAACTTAGCCAATTGATTAATCTTTGAGGGTGTACTGTGTGCTGAGATTGGTGTTAAATATTCTGGGTATACAGATGTGTGAGGTGCTCGAGGGTTTTCTGGTATGCTTAGGGACAAAAAGATTGTTTCAAATTGATGAATTATAGTCAGAGTAAGACAAGACAGCATCTGAGTGCTCTACTGTTTTGTATTGTAAGTGTCCTGGCAATTTAAAGGTGAGGAAGGTCAAGAGCCAGTTTTGTGTCCACCTTTACAAAGCTACCCTTGCCACTCTTGGCAAACTGGCTCTTGATAAGCAGAGTTTTGTTAGACTGGACTAGAACTATCCCGGTGTGTAGGAATTACCCACTAGGTATCTGTGGAATTGGTTAGGGACGAGGGCACTGTCTAAATAGACTACAAAATCGCAGGTTTGAAAAACTGGATTTTATTCAATTAGGTTGCTAAATTTGTTTAAACTTTCAAGTGATTTAATAAAATAGAGTTATTTTGGCCAGCTTCATCCCTAAATCTGTATATTTCAGCCTTGATAAAATTTTTTCTACAGTTGCAATGAAGCTTGTCCAGGATTATGTGGGAAAGTCCTTTATTTCTTATTTAGGTACCAGGAAATGTTCAGGTTTCTTCTACATTCCCTATTTATTTTTCCTTCAGCTTTTCCTGGGTCTCTTCCCTAATTCTTTTTGAATTCCTAGGGAAGAAAGAAGGAGGGGAGATTTATATACCCTTTGACAAACTAAATTTTCTTTGCCATGGGTAAATTTAGGAAGCAGAATTGACTACCGGCAGGTTGAACAGCACAAGCAATTCTGTGAATAGATCTGTGTTTGAGACAGACATAGAGATTAGCAGCCCAAGGTACTTTGTGAAAAAAGGATAAATAACTGAGGAAGGGTTCTGTTCTTGTTTGTTTGCATAAGGAAACTTCATAAAGGGGAAAGAAACTAAAGATTAGTAAGAAAAGTATAAACTTGTATCTAGAAGGCTAGAATGTAACTTTGGAAATTAAAAAGTAATGTTATTTGTACTTTATTATTTTTTTTTAGTAAAAGAAAGTATTAATAATTTGTCCATATTTTAGGTAAGCCTACTATTTGTCCTGATGTTTGATTAGGATAGAAGTGCATACTATTACTCCTTGGTGTCAGTGTTGCTAAATTGCAGCCTTTGGAAAGGTTGCTTTAAAGTGGGAATATATAAAAATCAAAGATATCAGCAAACAGCAAATGTGCCCTGAACAGTCTGTTAAGAAGTTTGGCATGTTCTAAAAGCCATGCTATTTAGCTCTCAGAAGTACCTTTTGGTTTTGAGAGTGTATCCTTGATCTTCTATGGCTTCTTCTTATTCTCTGTTAACCTTTTTTAATGCAGAGAATTTGAACCTGTTTCATCACCTTTTGCTTCTTCCAGATTCTTGATAAATATTTGCCAGACTTCAAGATTTCAGTAAAGAGGTGAAAGTGTATATTGCAACTTTGAGTCAACCCTGTAGGCAGGTGAACTGACGGACCAATTAAACAACAGGTAAGGCAGTGTCACAGTGAGTTATATTAAAAAAGAATAAGAGGAACATTAATATGTCAGCTTCATAAGTGTTTAAATAACTTTAATGTATCTTCATAAAGTAATACACATTTTGGAAGGAAATTTATTTTCTAAGGAAAAGCAAAAAGAAAATCATCCACTGCCCACCTCTCATATAAACTGTGGCTAACATTTTAATACACGTCTTTATAATTATTTTTTTACAGTCATCACTTGGTATCTGTGAGGGATTGGTTCTAGGAGCTTCCTCTTATACCAAAATTCAAGGATGCTCAAGTCCCTGATATAAAATGACATGTTGTATATGCATATAACCATATGCACATCCTCCCATATATTTTATTTTATCCTTTTTTTACTCAGATAGGCATTGACTCCCATGTATTTTAAATCCTCTCTAGAGTACTTATAATACCTAATACAATGTAAATGCTATTTAAATAGTCATTACACTGTATTGTTTGAGGAATAATGATAAGAAAAAAGTCAGTTTCAGTGCAGACACAGGTTTTTTTTTCCCCTAATCCGTGGCTGGTTGAATCCATGGATGTGGAACCCACAGATATGGGGGGCAGGGGCATCTGAATTTGGTTATAATAAAAATCACACACTAAAAACCCTTTTTACTTTTTTAATTTCTACTTAATCAGGTTATGAATATTTTCCCATGTCATTAATTAATTAATTTTTTTAAATTTTTTGAGACATAGTGTCAACTCTGTTGCCTGGGCTAGTGTGCTATGGCTTCAGCCTACCTCACAGGAACCTCAAACTCCTGGGCTTAAGCAAACCTTCTGAGTCAGCCTCCTGAGTAGTTGGGACTACAGGTGCTCGCCATGACGCCTGGCTCATTTCTTTTTCTTTCTATTTTTAGTAGACACAGGGGTCTCACTCTTGCTGAGGCTGGTCTGAGCTCAAGTGATCCTCCCACCTCAGCCTCCCAGAGTGCTAGGATTATAAGCATGAGTCACCATGCCCAGCCCCAAATTTTTCTACAACATAATTTTAATGGCTATATGGTATTCTGTTAAGTGGTTCTTTCATAGCATTTTACCCAGTGAAGTTGCTGGTCAAAAAGAATGCATATTTTTAAGATTTGCTATATAATACCAAATTGCCTTATATAGGAAGATTATGCTGATTTACATACCTGCCATAACAGTAGATGTTCACATAGGCACAAATATATATTCTTATAATAGATAATACATTTGCATGGTGCAAAAATGAAAATAATATAAAAAGATTTATAGTTTAAAAAAATCTTCCTGGCCGGGCGCTGTGGCTCACGCCTGTAATCCTAGCTCTTGGGAGGCCGAGGCGGGCGGATTGCTCAAGGTCAGGAGTTCAAAACCAGCCCTGAGCCAACGAAAGCGAGACCCCGTCCTCTACTAATAAATAGAAAGAAATTAATTGGCCAACTGATATATATAATATAAAAATTAGCCGGGCCATGGTGGCGCATGCCTGTAGTCCCCAGCTACTCCGGGAGGCTGAGGCAGGAGGATCGCTTGAGCCCAGGAGTTTGAGGTTGCTGTGAGCTAGGCTGACGCCACGGCACTCACTCTAGCCTGGACAAAAAGATGAGACTTGTCTCAAAAAAAAAAAAAAAAAAAAAAAAAAAAATTTCTTTGATCCTGTCACTTTTGTCTTCACTCCCTACCATCCCATAGGTAAACATTTTGGATTAAGTTCTTTTTTTTTTAATTCTTTTTTTTTTTTTTTTTTTGAGACACGAAGTCTCAGCTTTGTTGGCCCACGCCTAGAGTGAGTGGCTCTGGGCGTCAGCCTGGCTCGACAGCACTGCCAACTCCTAGCATCAACCGCGCTCACTGCCGTCCTAGCTCCCAGCCTCCCGACATACGCTGGGACTACAGCAATGCGCCCGCACATGGCCCGGCTAATTTTTTTTTTGTATATATACTATTGCGGTTGGTCAATTAATTATCTTCTAAATTTTTGGTAGAGGCGGGGTCTCGCTCAGGCTGGTTTCAAACTCCTGACCTTGAGCAATCCGCCCACCTCGGCCTCCCAAAGTGCTAGGATTACAAGCGTGAGCCACCACGCCCGGCCTAATTCTTTTTTTTTTTTTTGCCACCAAAAAGATATGGACCGGCCTAATTCTTTAAATTATTTTAACATTTTTTTTTATGCACTTTTGGTGAGAATGCCTGGATTAAGTTCTTACGTTTTGTGTGTGTGGGGGGTATATTTCTTAAGCCAGGTAACTTTTGAAGGGTATAAATCTCTGCAAGACTAAGTGATTGCCATTTGACTAGGATTGTAACCTCCTGCAGCCCCACTGTCAACCCTTATAAAATCTTTCTGCTTCTTACTATTGGAAGATTAGCACACTTTGGTATTCTACAAAGATTTCCTGATAGTATTTTACAAAGATCCCTGTCATTATTTGGCCTGGAGGTAAGCAACATTACTGATTTCTATCCAGGTTCTATTAGTTGCTTAGGAATGGATTATGGTTTATTGAGTTCTATGGATAAATTAAAGCAGAACTAAGATTATAATCCTTAAAAAGGTAATATGAAACTTATGTTTGGGAGTGAAATGAGAGAAAAATGTATTTGCTTCAGGTTTCTGGACAGTGATGAATTTGAACAAGTGTCCATGTGTCCTGTGCTGACTTCTGAGTGTTTGGACAGTGAGGATTGTCATTGGATTTTAAATTGACCCAATTTTGGAAGCTTCATAGATCTGTTTCTGTAAACAGATCCGATTTCAACATAGAAGTTAGCAAACATAAATGTGGAAACACAAAGTCCATTAAACTTCCTTCAGACTTACTTTGAGACTTTGACTAACAGTTAAAATTGCACTTTGGATTAATGTTGTCATTTACTGATTCCTGCTAATCCCTTAAATACAAGAAAAAAAATGTAGGTGTTTTCTCCCTGGGTAAGATGAAAATAACTCCATTCTATTTTACTCCTGGTAATGTAACAAGATCTCTTATTCCTTATGAAAGTAGGAGAGGATGTCCCTGGGGAAATGGCACTGCCTGGGATGGGACCATCTTAATTAACTATACTTCTAATGAAGTCTTGATTTACTCAGTTTGTTCTATTACGTTACCAATTGTCTAACCACGATTTCCCCTCTAATAGAAATAGGCAAGGCACATCTCACAAATTGGATCGTGAGGTGCTTGAGAGCATCTATCACATCAAAGTCTTTGTTTTGCTTAGGAGTTGCTAGTGCACTATTTCAGCCCTGCTCAGAATGCACCCTCTTGCAGCTTTCCCCCACCCCCTCTCAACCTGCACCTTTTGATTTATAGAGCTTGTCAAGACTAGTTATTTTTGGTTTGAGCATGAGGAGAAACAGGAGGCAATGGGAAGTTAATTTCAGATAAATCTGGGAACAGGTTACATTGCTTCTTCTGCAGTCTTCCTCATGTGTCTCCCCCTTCCATTCTTACCACTGTCATTTATCTCTGCCCCCAGAAAAAGTCAACACTCACCCTGTAGAGCTCTGCAGGTCTGTTTATATCTTTTAGGTATTTCTTCTACCAGAAAGCCTTCTTTGACTTTCCTACAGCCTATTCTCCTCTGTATTTCTAGAGTACCCTCTGTTTATGTACTGTTACAGCAAGATCACACTATATCATAATTATTTGTATTCCCCATTCAACTGTGAGTTTCTTAAGGGGGGAGATTATATATATATATATATATATATATATAATATATATATATATATATCCTTTTAGTCTTTGTTTTTTGGGAAAAAAAATGGGCTATATGATATGATAGATGCCATTTAATAGGCAGTTTTAAAAGGAACCTAACTAGTTCATAGCATATGGGATAGGCTTTTTCCTTGGGTCTGTTGTAGGGTTATTGGTCATTAATAGCTATTTCTCCACCCAGAATGTTTCTAGTTTTGCAGAAGTCTGAAGCTGTGGTGGATTCAGATAATTTTGAAATGTGAAGCTGATTCTCTTGCTTGGCAGCTTGGCAGCTTGATTTGTTTGGGGGAATGTGGTTGACGCATGTGCCCTTTTTTTTTTTTTTTTTGAGTGAGACTTGTTGACAGAAATTCAATCTTGATTAAGGGGTGCAGGAAGGCATCCAGTTCCCACCATGCTTGGGGCTCTCTCATTTAAACAGCTGCCTTTGGGTCTGGCGGGTTCTATTTCTCCCTAGGCCCTGTGGACTTTAATTCTTGAAGGTTTCACATCCTAATATTTATTATTTGTGGGGGAGGCAGTGTGGTGAAACTGCCATGACCTAGTATTTACTTTTGGTGTTGTTCATGTAGCTGTGCTATCAGCCTTCATCCAAGAGAGTCAGACTTCTTTATGGATAGATATTTGTTTATCTGTTCCCTTTTTTCAAGTAGGTGAGATGGTCTACTGAGTTGGCCATCCTAAATCAAAAGAGAGTTCAAATGTCTCTTTCTAAAAAAGAGAAAAATAATATTTTGGTTTTAAAATTTCACCTAAATAAAGATTAGGTGTACTTAGGTTTGCACCTCTTACCTTTTACCTTCCACCAATCAAATGTAGTCCTTGACCTCAGAGGAAAGCCTTTCTTTTTTTGATGCTTGAAAACCCTCTTCATAGTCTCTTTTACTTTAGAATATCCACTGAGAGGTTCTCACTAACCTCCATCTTGTATAGAGCAAAAACTTTATATGCAAAAGTACACACTTAGAAAAAGAGGGATCTTTTATTTTTTTCTTTCTTTTATCGTTTTTTTGTTGTTAACTTTATGAGAAGGTTCAGTTCAGAGCTTTCCCAATGTATTTAGAATAGGATTCTTAATTTACCAAACTTTTCTTTTTTTGAGACAGAGTCTCACTTTGTTGCCCAGGCTAAGTGAGTGCCGGGCATCAGCCTAGCTCAAAAGCAACTCAAACCTGGGCTCAAGCAATCCTTCTGCCTCAGCCTCCCAAGTAGCTGGGACATAGGCATGTGCCACCATGCCCAGCTAATTTTTTGTATATATATATTTAGGCCA